TTACATTTTAAAAATGCACCGATTTTATTATAAAATTACTATGTTAAATTTTTTTTTATTTTTTTTATAAAATGATCGACAAAATTTCATAGTGCGTTTGTCATATAGTGCTGCACTATGTTTGTAAATCATAGGGCATGTAACACCCCAATCGCCAATCACATCAACTTTTAATAACGATAACATTTAATTTTTCGTCACGTATAGTCGCGTAAAATTATGTCTTCTGATTCAAATAAACCACCTCAGGTTACTGCTGAGGATTCTTTAGAAAAGAATGAGGATAAAACTAACGGTAACGGTGAAATGTATGAATATTAACTGTAATATGTCTTGGCGCGTTCTTTATTCCTACTCGGTTTTATTTACTGTTGAATTAACTTTCAAGGAATGCGATGGTCAATACGTTACGAAATAATATCGAAGGCATGCAAAATTCTTTCAGAGCTGTGTACTCCGTAAGTATTTATTAAAATTTGTGTAAATCAATGTTTTTTTTATTATTCTGAAAATCTTATTGTTTTTATTTGTTGTTAAGACCTTGGCTGTAAATTTAAAACAATCATTGGAAATGATACAAGTGATGAATTCGATTATGGAACAGTTACTATTGTCCAATATTAGTAAGTAGGTTTTTTTATTTAAGTTTGTAAATAATTAATGTATGATAGTTAAAGTAACAAAGTTATGCAAAAACAGAAATAGATGTCCAGGCTGATTCCAATCCTCGTCTTTTAACTATAATCATATCAAATTCGTGTCAATTTCCTATACCAAAAGTATCCTGTAGTTTGGTGTTTAAGAAGAAAGATGATGACAAGGTACCGGTAATATTACATGAATGAATTGAAATAATTTTATCTTTGTAATAATTCCTTATTTTTATACAGGATGCAAATGTTAAATTTGAATGCGTGGAATCTATAATTCGAGAAGTCAAAAAGTCTAATAATTTGGGGTATGGTTTTATATTATTTACTACTTTATAATAATCCAAATATACGTAATTATTGTTTCATATATTATTACGATAGGTCAAAACCTTCATCCCCTTTGTCGATATTTGTACAGAATTCCTGTATTGGATCATCAGATTCCGATGCCTCGTTCACTTTATCACCACAAACACAAATAATTGAAAAATTAATGTTAATTCCATCGGAATTTGCTCAAGTAAGATTTGGAATGCTTCGTTAGTTTCATTTTTATAATTTTCTAAAATTTATTTATATTATCAAGTATAATGCCAAGATTTCTGTAATGTTTCCGAGTCCTGGGACTAGTAACCTTCTACAAACTGACCATTCATTTGATTTACATCTAATGAATTAAAAGTTCTTGTAATTATTTACTTCTGAAATGCGTAAATAAATCTATTTGATGAGTTTATGTGATATTTCACTATATATTTTCGTATAATAATGCATATGTACTTGGAGGTGTTAAAACGACTCCAATAATCACATGATAGTTGAACTGATATGAAAATAGCAGCTTTTAGTTTATTCCAAAATAGATTTTATGTAGGGATGTTAAAAAGTCCGTCCGGTCCGTCTCTAAAAAGTCTAGTCCTGAACTAGTTAGGAACTAGTTCATGACCCCTGTCTGAAACCCAGCAGTTTAATATATAACTTATATTTTTTTAAGTCTTAAAATTCACCAAT